TCGGGTTAGGCTTTGGGGCTTTCAGGTTTCGGGATTGGGCGTGTGGCGGCTCTGGATTTCAGGGCAGCTAGGGCTTAAGCCCCAGCCACCCATAAACCCTAAGCCAAGGCGCCAAGCCCTCTGCACACAAGGCCGTCGAAAAAGCCCACTCCCCAAATTCCCCAAAGGCCTTCAAGGCCCTTAAGGGCTTTTTCGGGCCCCCAAAGACTGAACCATGAATCCTAATAGGAAAAGGTGTTAACCACTGGGCGAACACGTAGCCCCCTAACTTGCAGCAACCCTAACGCCTAAGCCCTAAACCCTAAACCCTAAACCCTGAACCCTGAACCCTGAACCCTGAAACCCTAAACACTACGCCCCAGACCCTTGTCCAATTAGCCCCTAATGCCCCACCATCCCAGACGACCTAGGATGGCCCTTAAACCTCTCTGACGAAAATATTCCTGAATATGATCCTCTTAAACACCTTTCGGGTTTAGGGTTTAGGGTTTAAGGTTTAGGGTTTAGGGCTTAGGGTTTAGGGTTTAAGGTTTAGGGTTTAGGGGTTAGGGGTTTAGGGTTTAGGGTAAGATGCAACATGTCCCAAGGGCTACCTAGCGACCCTTCTCATCAGAATTCCGACCAGGCGGCTTATGCAGGCGATACACCGCGGAGAAGTTAAACACACCGACCTGGGGAGGGTTTCGGGCACTCTGCTGTAGGGTTCAGGGTCCAGGGTTCAGGGTTCAGGGTTCGGGGTTCAGGGTTCAGGGTTCAGGGTTCAGGGTTTAGGGTTTAGGGTTTAGGGTTTAGGGTTTAGGGTTTAGGGTTTAGGGTTTAGGGTTTAGGGTTTAGGGCCAAGATTTCAAAGTGCCAAAGCAATCAGTGGGTGGCAGGGGTAGAGGGTTTAAGGCTTGACTTCGGGGGCTGTCTTGAGCCTTATTTGGGGGTTGACGATATTAGGGGTATCTTATTGGGGTTTAGGGTTTAGGGTTTAGGGTTCAGGGTTTTAGGGTTTAGGGTTTAGGGTTTAGGGTTTAGGGTTTAGGGTTTAGGGTTTAGGGTTTAGGGTTTAGGGTTTGGGGTTTGGGGTTTGGGGTTTGGGGTTTGGGGTTTGGGGTTTGGGGTTTAGGGTTTAGGGTTTAGGGTTTAGGGTTTAGGGTTTAGGGTTTAGGGTTTGTGCTTATTATAACCCATCCTACTGTTTGGGGTCCTGGGTCTATATTTGAAGTCCCCTAGTTTCGTAAACACCCATTTGGGGCAAGGGGTGGGTAATCCTAGACACCGCTCAGAGGGAGGCGTCCACCAAACCCTTCACGATTGGGGGGGTTCTTTTAACGGGATTGTAGTGTGTTGGGGTATATAAGGGGTACCCTACAGTTTCGGAAAGCCCCTAAGCCCTGAAGCCTCCATCAACGCGAAACGTAGTAAGCCCTAAAGCTTGGGATGGTCTTCCTTGTCCGAACAGTCCTGAAAAGGGGTTATACTAGGGGTACCATACTAGGGACTGTACATCTCAATCCTGAGCTTGACAGGGAAAGATGGAAGCCTTTGTTGAACCCCAAACCCCAAACCCCAAACCCCAAACCCTAAACCCTAAACCCTTTTGCAGCAGGCTTGCGTGAGTCCTCGCCTGGATCAGGCTATCGCTCTCCGAGCTGACAGCACTAACTGAAACCATCTTGTGCAGACAAAAATCTAGCTTTTCGACGCTCTGTCTTGGCAGCAACTCTCTCAGCGAAACTGCTAGCGCGAGAAGCGGATGCACTAGAGTTCGCTGAGCAAGGACCGAGAGAGCAGTACCGAGAGTCACCAACCCGGCACCGTTTACTTTCACAGTCCCCATGCGCCAGGGCTCGTGGAAAGGTAGGTGAAGTCGCCGGCACTGGAAGCACTTTCGACTCAATGGCTTCAAGACGCGTCCTCACCTCATTTCTTGCAGCCTCAAGCTCCGAGTCAAGCTGTTGAATGGTAGCCACGTGATTCTTGATTTGAGTCTTGGCCTGCTCCAAGACAACAGCATATTGGGCCCGAATGTCCTTCACAAGGGACTCACACTGTGCTCGCGTTATCATCTCGAAGTCTGTCTGACATGCCGCAGCTCTGCACGCACCTTGGTCGGAAGGAATTCCAGAGCACCCCATTCGCATATCCGGCAAAGCATGGTTCAAGTCGACGACCATGCTACAGTTGATCCGTGGAGTGGTTGAAGAGTCCATCGTCAAAACCGTTGTCAAGGCAGAGTTGATGCATTGTCTAACACCTGTGAGTCCCATTTTCTTCGCATGCCGCTGCGCGTAGCCCAACACGGATACCAGCTTTTGTTTCGGATCTGCCATGGCAATACAAACTCCCTCTTTCTGCTGAACTGTACACAGGCTGTGCCCTTTTGGGCCTCGTAACCAGTATGGCACTTGAGCCGTAGCCATTTTAAACCCTAAACCCTAAACCCTAAACCCCAAACCCTAAACCCTAAACCCTAAACCCCAGGGACCTCGAAGGGCGCTGTGAGGTACGCCTTCGCCGCGGGGGCCGAGATCGCCAAGGCACCCTTGTCGTTCCTGGGATATTTGGAGGTTTAGGGGCTAGGGTTTAGGGTTTAGGGTTTAGAGTTTAGGGTTTAGGGTTTAGGGTTTAGGATTTGGGGTTTAGGGTGTGAAAGGTTTGCTTTTAAGGCTGTTTGGGGTATCTACGGGCTTTAGGATTGCAGGGCTGAGGGCTTAAGACGGGTCTTGGGGTTTGCAAGGGTGTTTAAGGTTTAGGGTTTAGGGTTTTTGGGTTTAGGGTTTAGGGTTTAAGGGTTTTTGGGAAGTTTGCTTTGGGGCTTGGAATGGTTCGGGGCCTTGGGGGGGGTTCAGGACATAGGGACTCAGGACCTTCGGGCTTCGGGGCCCTTAAACTCTTAAACCTTGATCCTAAACCCTAAACCCTAACCCCTAACCCCTCACCACTAAACCCTAAACCCTAAACCCTAAACCCTAAACCCTAAACCCTAAACCCTAAACCCAAAACCCTAAACCCTGAACCCTGAATGCGCCATCGAGCTGCACTCCGCCGAAGGAGGCGCACTTGGGAACCACAAGACCGGGCGCGGAGCCAGAGGGCACCTCGCGGCTGAGGGCTTAGTGTGAAGCGGTTTAGGGTTTAGGGTTTAGGGTTTAGGGTTTAGGGTTTAGGGTTTAGGGTTTAGGGTTTAGGGTTTGGGGTTTAGGGTTTAGGGTTTAGGGTTTAGGGTTTGGGGTTTAGGGTTTAGGGTTTAGGGTTTAGGGTTTAGGGTTTAGGGTTTAGGGTTTAGGGTTTAGGGTGCCTACTTGGAGGATCGGGGCACGCAGGAAGTAGGGATATGAGTACCTGAATTAGGATTACCTTGCTTCTAACCCACCTACTAAGTCCCCTGATCCTTTAAGTAAGGATTGGTGGAGTCTAGGGGTTAGAGGGTTAATAGGGTAAATAGGGTTTAGGGTTTAGGGTTTAGGGCTAGGGTCTAGGGTTTGGGTTCAGGGTTCAGGGATTAGGGTTTAGGGCGTCAGGACTTGAGGCTTAATTGATTCAGGGTTTCAGGATTGAACGTCTAGAAGGGTTTAGGGTTTCTGGTTCAGGGTTTAGGGGCCCGTTGTGGCAGAGGGGATTGCCCTTCGAGGTATGTAGGGGTCCTGCTTGCCTCAGAAACTCCCGCTACAAGCCCTTCAACCCATTACCCTTTGCAGCCCTAAACCCTGAACCCTAGACCCTGGACCCTAAACCCTAAACCCTAAACCCTAAACCCAAAACCCGAAACTTTGCAGTCTCGCAAGGCAGGCTGCCCAGGGGGCGTAGACGATGTCATCGTCTCGAAGGCGCAGAGTGTAGTCAGGATCCATGTCCTCTGGATCGGAAGCCAAGACCCCCCCCCCCCCCCTAGGGTTAGGGTTTGGGGCTTAGGGCTTAGGGCTTAGGGTTTAGGGTTTAGGGTTTAGGGTTTAGGGTTAAGGGTTAAGGGTTAAGGGTTAAGGGTTAAGGGTTAAGGGTTTAGGGTTTAGGGTTTAGGGTTTCGGGTGTAGTCAGGCTCCATGACCTCTGGAGCGGGAAATCCCCGCATGGGTACCTTGAAAGGGTTTAGGGAGTTTGGGGTTTAGGGTTTCTGGTTTCGGGTTGAGGGAGTTTCGGGTTCAGGGCTCTGGGGGTTCATCTAAAACCCTAAGACCCTGAACCCTAAACCCTACAAGCCCTAAACCCTAAAGCCCAGAAAATCCCCAACCAACCCCCCCCCCCCCCCCCCAAAAAAAAAAACCTAAGCCCTAAAAACAGCCTAAAAAACCCAAAAGCCCCTAAGGCCCCTAAAGCCTCTAAAGGCCCCCCTAAGAAAACCTTGAAGCCCCGAGGAAAGGCGGGCAGGCTCCTCGATCAGGTCCCAGCACTTGTGCAGCGCCTGCCACCTTCTCCAGGGTTTGGGGTTTAGGGTTTAGGGTTTAGGGTTTAGGGTTTAGCATATAAACCCAAAACACTTAGCCCCCCAAGCGCCTAAACCCCCTAGATCCCTCAACCCCTAGACCCCGAAAAACCCTACTTGGAGGGTCCATGGCACCTCTTCACCAGTTATAGTTGCACTTAAACGACCTAGAACCCGCTGATAAGCCCCTTAAGCGCCCTAATATGGGTTATAAGTACAGTTATTAGTTGGTTCATGAGTACTCTGAACCTCCAAGTAGACCCCTAAACCACCAAGCCTCAGGGGTGCAGGGATGTTGAGGGGCGTGGGAGGCAGGTTGTTGGAGCTTGTGCGCTTTGAGGAAGAAGGATTTAGTCTTTAGGGCTTTTTTGGTTACAGGCTGGCAGGCCTACAGGGTTTAGGGTTACAGGGTTTTAGGTCCCCTTCTTTAGGGACCCGTAAGGCTAGCCTTAGTCGTCTAACAGTCAGACCCCCCAAACCCCCAAACCCCCAAACCCTAAATCCCCAAATCCCTCATCCCCAAATCCCTAAACCCTGAACCCCTGGATCCGGAAACCCGGAACCCGAAACCCTAAACCCCAAACTCCTAAATCCCGAAGCCCGAAATCCCGAAGCCCTAAACCCGAAACTCTAAGCCCAAACCCCGAACCCCAAACCCCTAAGTCCCCAAACCCTTAAGATGATTTCAAGCCGCTTGCTTAAACCCTAAACCCTAAACCCTTACTAAACCCCAAATCCTAATCCCCAAACCCATAAATCGGATTTCAAGCCGCTGCTTCACGTGGCTCTTGGCTCGCGTCTCCGCGTCGCCGTTGTTCTTGCCGAGCTCCCGGACGTATCGGATGTCGACCTGGTCTAAGCCCTCAAGCCCAAAACCCTATAGCTTGGGATATTCCTCTTTGTAGTCACAGCCCTTAATAGGGATTCTGGTAACCCCTATTCTCATCCATACCCTCACACCCCAGAGCCCCAAAAAACCCTGAAGTATCCCAACACTTTGAAGCCCTATAACCTGAAACCCCAAACCCCTTCTACACCGGAAGATCCCATGACCCCTAAACCCTAAACCCTAAACCCTAAACCCTAAACCTAAACCCTAAACCCTAAACCCTAAACCCTAAACCCTAAACCCTAAACCCTAAACCCTAAACCCTAAACCCTAAACCCTAAACCCTAAACCCTAAACCCTGGCCTGGTACAGCGAGGGCTTGAAAGGCTCGACGATCACCGAGACCGAGGCGGGGAAATCACGCTCCACCTCTTTCAGCTTGCCTTGGGCAAGAGGGAGAAAAGGGTTCAGGGGTTTAGTGGTCAGGGTTTAGGGGTACAGGGTTTAGGGTTTAGGGTTTGTCTTTGGGTTTTTGGTTACCCCAGTATTGCCGCCCGAAAGCCTAGACCCTAAACCTTAAACTCTGGACGCGAAACCCTAATCAAAGCTCCAGTTGCTGTAGGGCCCATCGACCATGGTCACATCCTCGCAGGGTTCCAAGCGAATTGCAGGTTTAGATTTGGGATTTAGGGTTCAGGGTTTAGGGTTTAGGGTTTGGGGTTTAGGGTTTCGGCTTTAAAGGCAAGTTTTACATGGTTGTGGGGGTGTTAGGGTTTCAGACCTTAAAGGCTTCAGGCTTGAGGGTCTAGCGATCCAGGAGTTCCTCTCCTAGATTGAATTCTGGAGTCATCCGAACTCGAAACCCTCGCCAACGTACCCCAACACACACAAGCCTGCATCCGAGGGTTTAGGGTATAGGGTTTAGGATTTAGGATTCAGGGTTGAGGGCTTCAGGTTTACGACTTAGGGTTTGGACCTTAATCAACCCACACCAAAACACGCCAAAGCCTGAGCGACTCAGCGGTCCTTCCCTAGACGCGTCCCCGGCCCGCGGGCCGTGTGCACGTAGACGGGTGCTGCTGCTGGGTCGACCACCACTGCCACGCGCACATTCCTCAGGCGTCCGGGTTCCAAGGCTGGGTTAAGGGTAAAGGGTTTAGGGTTTAGGGTTAAGTTAGGGGTTTAGGGTTTAGGGTTTAGGGTTTAGGGTTTAGGGTTTAGGGTTTAGGGTTTAGGGGTTAGGGTTTAGGGTTTAGGGTTTAGGGTTTAGGGGTTAGGGAATATTGTTTAGCGTTTAGGGCGTGTCATGCGTGCCCTGGACCCGCTTTGGGCTGATCAAGGGCTTGGGGTTTAGAGCTTTATGGGGTCTCGTTCAGCCAGAAACCCTAAACCCTAAACCCTAAACCCTAGACCCTAAACCCTAAACCCTAAACCCTAAACCCTAAACCCTCCAAAGCATGGGCATGGCGAGCGACGTGGGCTCCAAGCCGGTGACAGAACACACCAAGAAGGGATTCAAACTCTTCATCAACAGAGCAGACCATGAGAACGGCCCTAGCAAGGGCTGTCATTCCTGCTTTCTTCCCTGGGGCCAACTTTGGATGAGAGAGCGCCTCGCCTCTGAAATCCTGGCGTAGAGTCGCGAAGAAAGGAATACTCTGATGAAATACCCCCCCATCGAAACGGACCCGCTTCAAAGGATGCTTGGCACCATCGCAAAAATTCTGAGGGACATGGTTGTTCCACGTCACATTTCGCCAGACCCCTAGAAAACCCAACCCTAGACAGTCCTAGACAGCCCCAGACGACCCTAGACAAAAACTAAACCCTAACAAGAGTATAAGGCCCCCGGAAATCGAAGCCATAACCAAGCCCGGTAACCCCGAAACAGCCCCTCAGACACTCTTGACACCTTAGGCCTAAACCCTCAACCCCTCAACCCCTCATGTGAACGTCCCAAGGTCTGCTGATTGCTCTGGAACCTCTGCTGATTGCGTTGTCACCTCTTGATCTCCGGGCTCATAGAGCTGGGGAGGGAGGGTTAAGGTGGCAGTCCTTAGAGGAACCTCTTGAGCCATAGCAGGCGCTGTGGACAGCGCAGTGGGGAAGGAAAAGAAGAGCGAGGCCGCTCTACCATCGGATCCTCGAGGACGAGGAGTAGGCCAACATCGGGGCAAGGATCCAAATTGAGTAGGTCAACGTCGGGGCAAGGATCCAAATTGGTAGCGGAGCGCCTGGACCCCCGCTTTGTGGAGCGAAAGGGGTGGCGCGTCCGTGATCCAAGGAGGTGAGCCCAAGAAGATCAGACCGGCAGATGCCGACGGAATCAGGTGAACATGGTGGTGGTGCTTCAAGTAGCACCGAGGAGTCCAGCAGGGGCATATGGAATCTCCTGCCAAGTTTTGATCCTGCAGCGGACGATCCCAGAGAGTACAAGGACAAGGTCATCTTCTTGCATCAAGTTTGCCCGGCCAAAGACCGATCGATGTTGGCACCGAGGCTAGCGCTTCTATGCAAAGGAACAGCCTGGAGCCAAGTGAAGGCACTCGATGCAACGAAGCTGACAGACCCTGAGCAAGGCATCCAAGTACTCCTGAAAGCATTGTCCTCGTGGGATGAGGCAGCAGAGCTGCAGACGTACGAGAAGTTCGAGAAGGCCATCTACAGAACCACCCAGAAGATGGATGAAACGACCATGTCTTTCGTGAATCGCCTCTCGGTGGCATTTCACGAGCTTGGCGACGCTGTCACAATGAAGGAGTTCAAGGCCTTCATCCTGCTACGCCAAAGCTACTTGACGACAGAGGACAAGAGGAAAGTGATCACACTTAGTGGCGGCACGATGGAAGCTGAGAAGATCGAGAATGCAATGCGGACTCTGTCTACAAAGATCTTGACTTCTTCCAGCGAGGGCAAGAAGAAGATCTATCCGGCGAACTTTGTGGAGACAGAGGAGACGGACGAAGCCCACTTCGTGGAGGAAGACTACGACGAGGACCAGATGCTCGTGTACTTTGCGGAGTTGGGGGATGAAGACGCCGTGTTCATCACCGAGTACGAAGACAGCATCAACGAAATGATCCAAGACATGCCAGAACTGGCAAGTTGTTTCTCAGCATATGCTGCTGCGCGCCAACGCCTGCGAGATCGAGCAAAGTCCCGAGGGTTTTGGCCTCCCCGAAAGGGGAAGGGCAAAGGAGGAGGAAAGAAGGGCGGTCGATTTGGCAGTCACAAGAAGTCGTTGGCTGAGCGCATCGCGGGAAGCCATTGCAGACTGTGCGGGCAACGAGGGCATTGGCGCCTCGAGTGTCCGATGCGGTCTTCCAGTAGTTCCGGAGCAGGGCCTGGAAATGAGGTGAACAACTTTGCCATGATGATGACCGACATAGCGGAGGACAACGTGGAGGTCAGAGATGCCGCCGAGATTCTCGAGCGGCCCCTTCCCTTCAGCACCGTCGGGCTCGAGGAGTACCTCAAGAAGGGCGACATGGTAGAGAAGAGCACGTCCCCAAGACCCGACCTCAGCTCACCAATTAGCATGCAATCAGAGTTAATGTTCTTTGGGCAGCATGAATATCTTGTTGACCCGAACTGCTTCCGAGCAGAAGGTGTCAAGCTCAGACTCCAGAGTCGCTTGCTTCAGCTATGTAAGCCTAGGCTGAGGGCTGATGACCATTGTGAAAGGGCTTTAGTGACCGTTAGGGCAGAGGCTGCTATCCTTGACACCGGCGCCAGCAGAACGGTGGTTGGAAAATCGAACTTTAGTCGATTCACTGAGCAGTTACCTGCAAGCACACGTGCGCAGATTCGCATGGCTGATTCTCAGGTAGTGTTTCGGTTTGGCAACAATGGAACCCTAGCAAGCCTTAAGACCGCATACATCCCTTTTGGAAAGCATCAGATGTTTGCTGTGGAAATTGTTGCCGGCCAAACGCCGTTCCTGGTTTCAAATGCATTCTTGCGACAAATTAAGAGCCACCTGAACTTTGAAACCAATACCCTCTGGATTCCACAGTGGCAAAAAGAAATTCCCCTGAACGTAGGCGATAAAGGGCTGTATCTAATCGATGTTCGTGAGCTCTTGGGGCTTCAAACGGCAGACGTCTTGGTTGCGACCGAGGGATTGAGTGAGACAACAGACGCTCCAAACTTCCAGCAGTTTTTCGGTCCTCAACTTGGCCCATCCGCCCGAATCGGAGCGCATGAACATGACCGACGTTACCCAGATACTCGACCTCGCGTTGACTGGGAAGGAGGACAGCGACTTGAACCTGAACATTCTGGACGACAAGCCGGTGATGAAACCAGTCGGGGTAAGTTCGCTGCGCGATTGGGGGACTTTCGTTCTCGAATCCGGGAAGCACCGCGGAAAGACCTTCCTGGCAGCGGTCGAACAAGATCCCGGCTATGGACGTTATATCGCCAACCGGTCTCTCACCGAGAAGTCTTTGAAAAGCTTCCAGGAGTTCATCCGAGCCTTGACGCGGGCGCAAAAGAGTGCCTACAGCCCAGGAACATCATTGATGACCTCGCCGATGCCCAAGTCCGAGGACCTGAACCACTTCGAGACTCACAAGGTCATCGGGACAAAGAGCCAGGGGTCCATGAGCTCGGCCAGGAAGCAAGAACCGGTCATTCCGCAGACACAGGGCATGATGTCGAGCGGCAACAAGGGGACATGCAAAAGGAGTCCGTCATGGGACCTGATCCAAGAAGAAGAGACGCCGGTGATCCCGATGCAGCAAGATGTGAGCCCCGAAACGATCAGTCAACTCGAGGCGCAGATTGCAGCGTTGCAGCGAGACTTGGGCCGTGCCAAGCAGCCGCAGTCTCCGTAAGCCCGCCAGGTGAGCCAGAAGTGGCTACGACGGCCACAGACGAGGGATCCTCCCCGTTGTCTCCGGAGCAGTTAAATATGATAGTGCAGCAGATCGATGCGATTTGTGAACTGTGTGAAGAAGGCCTCCGCGAGACCAGTAGAACCTGTCGCGATCCCCAGGGCCCTAAGCGGTCTTCGCAGATCTCAAACAGCAAGACATTCCTGGAAGTTAGCGTAGGAGGGCCTGGTACCATAGGCCGTTATGTGTGTGTTCTAGGAGGCGAAGGAAAGATGATCGAGCTGTCGGCCAGAGATCTTTGCGATGCCAGTTACGAAGACAAATTGTGGCAAATGATCGATGTGTGGAAGCCGCGTCATGTGTGGGTGAATGTAACTAGTTCAGGGATGTCCAAGGAAACACGGGAATTGGTTTTGAGGTTATGTTCCGATCTCTATTCTATTCAGGTTGCTAGGGGAGGGCATTTTCATGTACTGTCTGACTTGAGGGTCAATTGGGATGAAGTTGAGTGCGCTGCAGAAATGCTAGCCGGCACCCTCATCACTCAGTATGATCTAGGTCACGTTCCCAAGCCACCCCGACTACAAGGCAACAACTTTCTCCAACAGAAGGGCACTGTTCGCACCACGTCCCAGGTTCTTCATGCGAAACTAGATCATAGATACATTCGGTATGATCAAAAGGGTAGCAGTCTTCATGGTACTGCGCTCTGCGAGAAGTATCGAACGTATGTTGAAGGTTTGGCAAAGAACGTAGCTAAATATGTGGTTGCCCTTGGTTCTGAAAGGCCCCTTTTGAGAGAAGAATTCTGCTGTCATCTAGACGACAAAAGAGATGCAGATAAGCTCGACATAGTGCCCGAACAAATCCTTAAGCGACGGAGGCGGTATACTTTCAAACAGGCCCCCCGAGAAAATGAGTATGGGAGGAGTAGCGCAACCTGGCATGTCGTCTTTCGAACACTGAATGCTAGAGTTCCCAAAGGAGGCAACCATATTATTCCCCCGGAAGATGGCCTGATTGAAAGTATACAGGCTCTGGTTCCTGACATGAGGGTACACCATGCCGAAGCTTGTCGAGGGGTCAACAGACTTAGGGTGCCGATCGGAAAGTATGATCCTAAGTTAATTTCTCATCGCTTCACGATTGTCATCAACCGAAACACCGGAGAGGTCGAACCCGACACAAGCATCGAACATTGGGCCTCATTGCCCAAGTATAAGCAAAATCGAGCAGGGAAACCGGCCAAAATGGCACTCACGGTGTATGGTTGTGTACCCCGCGAGACACCGGTGGAACCCCCATCATCTGATGTCATGATGCCCAACACCACGTCCGATGTCATGATGCCCGAAACCACAGTTTCCAGCACCGAGTCCCGTCGCCTTGAGCCTAAACTCGCGTGGGGTCCTCCGCCAGTCGCAAATCATGGCCCCGGGTTTAGCCGACTGTCGGCGCAGGAACAAAGTGAAATGCGACAGCTTCACCATAACTTGGGTCACCCGGATCCGCAAAAGTTTATGCGCTACCTCAAGCAGGGAGGGGCTGGCCCGGAAGTCCTTAAAGCAGCTTTGGATTTTCAATGTGATGCTTGCACGGAGTCACGCAAGGGGTTTAACGCCGCACG